CATATCTTTTGCGTCCGCCATTACTCCAGCCAGATAAACTGGCCAGAATTTATATAGATTAATATTATGAAGAGTTGTTTTTCGAAAATTTGACGAATTTAAATTCACTTATGGACAAAATTTTTAATGCAATCGGATAGGATACCAAGCATATGAGGTGAGAAACAGTTTTGTTGCAAAATACGTTCGTCAAATATAATTGTAAGGGTTTTATAGTTTCTTGCCTTGAATTGTATGCGAGATCCATGTTTAGAACGTCTCTTATATTGAACGGCAGTTGCCCTAAGAATTAATAATTTAGGACAAAAGTAATAAATATATTTAGTGTGATTCCATTTCTGTATTTTCTAGTAAAGAGTTTCCTATTAGAATGGTCAACGGATTTGATAGAAGCGATAAAACGACCTACTGTGCGTAAAGGACGTTCTTCAGATGAAGACGTTATTAGTATAAAATTTGGACTAAACTAATTTATATTTGATTCTTGAATCTGGGCTTTTTATTTGCAATGCAGCTTTTCCGCATAATTGTAATTGAAAGTTTTTATTTGTAATTGTATATTGAGTTCCTGTGGCTATCATGTCTGTCAAATTTGTATTAACTTACAAATAAAGATGTTTCTTGTTGTCTTATTTTTAATAAACAATATATGAAATTACAATTTTTTAAAGAATGAAGTTATTGATAAATTGTTACAATTAAATTAAAAACTTTGCCATTATGTCAAGCATATTGTCAACTTCCTACAGCTTAGCTCTTTGGTTAAACTTCACTTGTGAGTTGTGACCAACAATTGTATGTGAAAAATGATTAGAATTATGTTTGATTCACATCCATCCAACTAACTTCCAAAAAATGAAAGTCAAATATGCTACACAGATTTTTAGTCATACCGTTGCAGAAGCTATTTGCACATATGTCAACTTGGGAGGATTATCATCTTGTGCCAGTGGAACTGCAGAGTTTCTCTTGAAGTTTGATTCCCTCTTTGATTGTGTAAATAGCTCCAAGCTAAAAGCAATGAAAGAGTTGAGAAGACCAATCACAACAAAGAGTTCACACATCATATTTTTGCAAGAATCCTTACAATTTATTAAAAAAATTAAAGTTTTCAATGGCAATGAGGATGTAAAACGCAGGATAAAATCTCTAAAAGGTTGGTTGGTTACAATTAGTGCAATTATAAACAACTGGAGTACATTGCAAACCACCCACAACTTTACTTACCTACTTACCAGAAGGCTGAACACCGACTTAAAATTTTTTCGGAAGCATACGACAACAAGGGGGGAATTGCGACAACCCCACACCAATACAGTTCACAAGAGCATTTAGAAAATTGTTTTTTAGTGCGCTTCTTACATCATCAAAAGGCAACTGTGCTAAAGATATGGATGCCCTCTTGGTTCAATGCACAAAAGCAAATATATCAAAGCCAAAACATGTCGACAACATGCCACAATCCCATTTAAGCATTCTTTCAATTGGACCAGAGGATTATAGAGAACAGAATGTGACTTCTAACATCATTCAAGATAACGCTGTAGCTTATGTTGCTGGCTACTTGCTGAAAAAAATCATTCAAGAGGCACAGCTGTGATGAATGCAAGAGAATTTATACATCAAATGATTTTGACAGTGATCAACAGTTTTTCTGCTATTTCAAATCATATGATAGTAAGAATTTTGGTGGGTTGAATGTCCCGGCTAGAAGATACCTGGAATACATAAAGACACTGGAAGATACTTTCGTCAATTGCTTTTCTGCTACAACGAAAAATTCCAACGTTGGGGCAAATATATTAAAAGTCCTCCAGGCAATTCCACCAGTTGATGTATGTACAGAGTTCCCACATGATTATTTCTTAAAGCTTTTAGTCCGAATGCGTATCTATTACGCGATCAGATTTGCAAATCGTGACTTTACCACCACCAAAAGGAAATGTCGGAATTATATAAAAGTCAAACATCTTTAAACTAAACAAAATTGAAGAATTTAATGCAGAGCAGGTTTATTCACAGTCCAAGAGAAAACATAAACAAATAAACTGACCCTTACCTCTAGAACTTTGACGAACAGCCAGGACAGACGACATGTCATCCGTATTCAAGTTCTACTTTGAATGTTTCTACAAACAATTATTTTTCAAATACGATATCGAATCGACTGATAAGACATAGACAACTTGCTGCGATTTACTGTCTCTACTCGAAAAACGCAAAAAACTTCCAATGTGCCGAATTGTTTTAGTTTTTGGTTAAAAACTTGTCCTTGGCACTATAAATTACATTGCGATCTGGCTGGAAACATGGCCGCCGTGTAAAGTTGCCCGGATGCTGGGGACACGAACATCAAAGGCTCCGACATCGAGTGGCGCTTCTGTATGTATCTATTCTGTGACCATAGTAAAATGGTGACTCCTGCACTTGGGACACAGGACGTACGGTTACACATTGTATGGATTGTACTGTCACCATTTGAGCACTGTAGAGTCACCACAGTGCTCAAACCTATAAAGGTGAGCTTTGCATATCACGAACACGGTGAACGTCTCCATATGAGACTCTCTCACATGTGAGCGTAATATACAAAGTGTATTACAATGTGCCCTCCCGGCTATCACAATAGTCAAATGGTGACTGGTGACTGGTAAAATGAAAAATGGTGACACCATGCTAAATATATATATATATATATATATATATATATATATATATATATAAGTTTGAAAATTTGTAATCCAGGCATTGAATATATAAAAGATAAACGTTTCTCCAAATTTTTAAATGATTTTTATTGAGCTTTCGACTCGTTGCTTCGAGCCTTCATCAGAATGAGGATATTTATTTACACGTGTTTTTAGCTTGGAGACGTTTAGAGCGTCTAATTGGATTAGTGGGTGGATTAATGTGATTGGATGGGGTGAAATGCGTTGCCATTGGTTTTGGTGTGTTGTTAATATGGTTGGTGTTAATAATATTAGAGTGTAGTGTTTTAGTTTTGGTGTTCTTTGTATTTTTTTTGTCCTTTTTCTTTAGTTGTGAGTATATGATGGGTATGTCGATATGTCTGTTTATTGTGTCGTTGTCTTTACTGTACCAAGCTTCTTTAAATTGGCGTGCGTGTTTAGTCTGTGCGCGTCCGAGTACTTTAGTTTCTGTCCAGTCGAATGTGTGGTTGTTTCCGTGGGTATGTTCTGCCGGTAGTGAGTTCGGATCTCGTCGTTTTATGGCGTTTTTGTGTTCTGTGAGTCTTGTTTCAATTTTCTTAGATGTTTGTCCTATGTATTGTTTTGAACAGTCTTTACATGGTAGCATGTAGATCGCGTCAGTTGTATCATGAATTGTTGTTTTGTCTTTATGTTTGGTGAAACATGATTTGAGTTTTTGTGGAGGTTTGTGGGCGACGTTAATATTAAATGGTCGAAGAAGTCTGGCAGTCATTTCTGATGTTCCGTTTATGTATGGTAATGTGACGATTTTTACTGTTTCGTCCGGTTTTTTGTTGCTTTTGTCGGTTTGTGTTTTGTTTTGTATTTTGTTTATACTTTTGTTTATGAAGTTGCGTTCTGTTTTTTTGGCTTCTTCCGTATTACAATGAGTGTTTATCCTGTTGAAAAGTGTTCGAATGCAGCTTATTTTGTGTTGTGTTGGATGATTGCTGTTGAAATCGAGTATTTCCTCTGTGTTTAGAAACTCACCTTTATAGGTTTGAGCGCTCTGGTGACTCTACAATACAATCCGTACAATGTGTAACCGTACGTCCTGTGTCCCAAGTGCAGGAGTCACAATTTTACTATTGTGATAGCCGGGAGGGCACATTGTTATACACTTTGTATATATGTATATATATATACATAAAAGATAAAAGATTCTCTTGATTTAAAGTGAGTTTTATTGAGCTTTCGACTCGTTGCTTCGAGCCTTCATCAGAATGAAAAATATTTTTTTACACGTGCTTTTTAGCTTGGAGACGTTTAGAGCGTCTGATTGGATGAGTGGGTGGATTAAAGTGATTGGATGGGGTGAAATGCATTGCCATGGGTTTTGGTGTATTGTGAATATTATTGGTGTTAATAATATTAGAGTGTAGTGTTTTAGTTTTGGTATTGTTTGTAGTTTTTATGTCCTTTTTCTTTAGTTGTGAGTATATGATGGGTATGTCGATATGTCTGTTTATTGTGTCGTTGTCTTTACTGTACCAAGCTTCTTTAAATTGGCGTGCGTGTTTAGTCTGTGCGCGTCCGAGTACTTTAGTTTCTGTCCAGTCGAATGTGTGGTTGTTTCCGTGGGTATGTTCTGCCGGTAGTGAGTTCAGATTTCGTCGTTTTATGGCGTTTTTGTGTTCTGTGAGTCTTGTTTCAATTTTCTTAGATGTTTGTCCTATGTATTGCTTTGAACAGTCTTTACATGGTATCATGTAGATCGCGTCAGTTGTATCATGAATTGTTGTTTTGTCTTTATGTTTGGTGAAACATAATTTGAGTTTTTGTGTAGGTTTGTGGGCGGCGTTAATATTAAATGGTCGAAGAAGTCTGGCAGTCATTTCTGATGTTCCGTTTATGTATGGTAATGTGACGATTTTTACTGTTTCGTCCGGTTTTTTGTTGCTTTTGTCGGTTTGTTTTTTGTTTTGTATTTTGTATATAGTTTTGTTTATGAAGTTTCAAGGGTAATTGTTTTTAATAAATTTGGAGTATAAGTAGTTGCGATTTGTTTTTTTGGCTTCTTCAGTATTACAATGAGTGTTTATCCTGTTGAAAAGTGTTCGAATGCAGCTTTTTTTGTGTTGTGTTGGATGATTGCTGTTGAAATTGAGTATTTGGTCTGTGGGTGGTTTTGCGGTATATTGTGTGTTTAGTGTACCGTCATCTGTTCTGGTTAGTAGGATGTCGAGGAAGGTAAGTTGTTTGTCGTGTTCTTCGTCTTTAGTAAAGGTAATATTCTTTGTGATATTGTTTATGGTGTGTAGGATTTGTTGAGTTTTGTCTTTCTTGACTATGGCAAATTTATCCAGTGATGTCGAGGCTGTGGTGAAAATTTCGCCAGAGCGCCATCGCATAACCTTTAACCATGCACTTCAGATGCATGCTTTTTCTAACCAAGACTTCCTTGTCCATGGTAAGCCAGTGGAATTTAAATCAGTCTCCCCCTTCACATGGGTATATATTTCTCGCTTATCTTATGGCATCCCCGACGAAGCCATCACTAGGGCACTTTCCCCATATAGTGGAGGTATTAAATCTATCAAGTCGGTAATACATGAATGTATTTACACAGGCGAGCACAATGTGCTCATGAAAATCATGGCCAACATACCAGCCCGTTAGCGCATCGCAGGCCACTGGTGTGTTGTAAAATACAGTGGACAAAAACCCGTGTGTTTTAAATGCCATCGGGAAGGACACGTCATCGCCGACTGTCCTACGCCTAACAACACCCGCTCCGCTCACCCTGAACGGGACTTAACTAACAATAATGATGCTACATATCGTTGCAACAATAATATCAATAATTGTGCTGCAATTGTTAGCACCGACGTTAATAATACAGCACCCGCTGTAATTGTTGCTCCTTCGCTGCCTTTGGTATCTTATGCGGTGGTTGTGGGGACCAATCTTTCGAAAATTACCCCTCCGAGTACCAACGGGTCATCCACCCCATTCACTAGCAATACTAAACAGCCAGCTCCTGACTGCGCTACCGATGCTTCGGTCTCTTCCGCCCCTTCTGAGGGTAGCACTGATAATCTTGGCAATTCTTCACCGCCAACTTCTAGCCCTGTTCGACGCCGTGGAAAACGACGCCACTCCCCCACCAGCTCACCACAACCGGAGGAGAAACACGCCTCACACGACGACGGGGCTATCGATGACGCGGACGTGGACCCTGATCCTGGGGATATACCCCTTCATCAGGATGACGAGGAAATTGAGGACAATACTGATGACGACGGAACGGACATGGACAACGAGAACGCTGGGAACACGGACGAGGATGACGATGATGAGATTGGCAACGGACCAACAACTAGTGATAACAACCATGATGATGACAATGATGATGATGACATCGACGACTCACAGCATTCGGATGGGGAAAGAGGGACCCTGACGAATATTTGGATCTGGACGAAGACGATTACCCGAGTGATGACAACGCCTCCTTCGCCACAGTGTCGGAAGCAGAACTACTAATTCACCGGCTCACCACCTGGTGACCCTCCCGATACCAAAGTCTACTCCTTTAGACGACCAACGTGCGCCTGCGTGCCATAACACCGATGCAGACGCCTTGTTTAAATTGGCAGCAGTGCTTCCACCCATGGGGGCTCTCCTTCCTCTTAATCTCTCTTCTCGTTGGACAATCCTTTTTGTCTTCTAGATTTTCTTTGTTAATTTTACTTTTATCATGGCCTTACACAGACCACCACTCACAGCTATAACTTTGAATTGTCAACGCCTCCGTAACCCAACACAGAGGTCTATCCTCTTTTCTTGGCTGTCATGTTTTTCTCCCACCATTGTGTGTTTACAGGAGACACATTCCACCAACCAAGACGAATTTACCCAATGACTCTTGCACGAAACAACTAATGGCAACAACAAGCCACAATGAAAGCTCTCTTCTCCCGGAACGACCCGTTCCCGAGGCGTTGCCGTCTTTTACCACCCTTCTCTCACAGTTCTTCATTCCTCATCCGACTCACAAGGTCGGCTACAAATCCTCACTTCTCTTCTCACTCCACCTCCTTTCAACTCGTCAACATCTATGCCCCCAACCAAAAGTCCAGGCATCGAGTTCTTCCATTCCATTCTTCCTCTTGTTGACATTTCCTTCCGACTGTCATTTGCGGCGATTTTAACACCGTGGTGGACCCGAGCATCGACCGCACGGAATGCGGCAGATTCACCGTGGGCGCTGGTGGCCCACACATTGTACACTCACAGAGAGCTGAAATTAGTCGATATTTGGCGATCGCGCCACCTACCGAACGATGTACTACATTGTCCCGTGCTGGCGGCCAGGTCGGTTCACGTCTGGATATGTTCTGGATTTCGTCCTCCTTGGTACCGTCCGTCAAGGAAGTATCGATCCTCCCTTATTTCACAGTGATCACTCCTACGTTTCTTTCCTTTTCCTCCAGAACGCACCGGAGCGTGGGCTGTTGGAAATTCAATAGTAACTTACTCAAAAACGAGACATACATCAAAATAATCCAAGTATTTTGGAGATTGGAAGACGGAACAAACCCACTATCCTTCACTCCCCGAATGGTGGGATGTTGGTAAGCCCCTGATCAAAAGATTACTATCATTCGTCGGAGCTGGCTTCCTCTCAACGAGAAGCACTTCACACACTTACCAACAAACTGAACATTCTGAATTCTCGACGTAATCTTGGAGAGGACGTTTCTACTAATCAAACTAATCGAAGATCAATTGTGACCATCATTTTGAGACAGGTGACTGGCGCACGTATACGTACCCGAGAACAGTGGGCCGAGGAAGGCGAGATCTCTTCAAATATTTCTTTCGACGAGAAAAATCGTGCAATACGAGCCTTATGGATGGAATCTATGATGTGCACGGACGAATTGTTAAAGGCTTATCCACATGCTACATGTCTGGATGATGTTCTATGTCGCCCTTTTTCTGCTGCCTATCTAGACGCTTTGGAGAACAAACCTTTTCTTGATAGAATCCTTCACAAATTGTCCCCAGCGGACGCCGCCCTCTGCAGGGGGGAAGTTACGTTGGAGGAATTTGCCATGCCTTCACTCTTTTTCTTCTAATAAATTGCCGGGGGTGGATGGCCTCACTTATGAATTTTACCGCACATTCTGGGACCTTATAGGTCCTGATCTAGTAACGGTACTCAATGCATTGTGTAATGCAGGTCAATTGTCCCTATCGCAAAGAACTGGAATAATTACATTACTTTATAAAAAGAGGGACAAACTGGAACCCAAAATTGTGGCGTCCGGTCACGTTATTATATACGGATTACAAAATTTCATCCAAGTACTTACTGGCCGCTTGGCCAAGGTCCTATCCAGTGTGGTCTCACCTTGCCAAACGTGTGGCGTGCCTGGACGGTTCTCTGGTGAGGTCGTACGGGTGATACAAGACAGCATCGACTACGCCAATTCTGAAAATATCGGTGGAGCCTTGTTGTCCTTAGATCAGGAAAAGTCTTTTGATCGGGTGGATTGGGAGTTTATGCATAGGATTTTGGACACCATGTATTTCGGACCATCCTTTCGGACATGGGTTCGCCTATTATATACGACATTATATTCACGCATTTCTCTTAGCGGTACTCTCGGGGGTCCTTTTTCTATCTCCCGGGGAGTGCGGCAGGGTTGCCCTCTTTCCCCCCTACTCTACGTTTTGGCAGCCGAACCTATCTCGCGTGCCATACAAGATTCGCCGGACATTGACGGTTTCCCTCTATCATCTGGTCATCAAATGAAGATCCTACAATACGCAGATGACACTACCTGTTTTGCCATGAACGACTCCAGCCTGCTGTCGTTGATACAATTGTTTGACAAATATTCAAAAGCTTCAGGAGCAAAACTAAATATCGATAAAACCGAAGGCCTGCTATTTAGTCCTTGGAAACTTAGAAAGGACTTACCTGTAAAACTAAAATGGTCCAGCAAATCCCTGACCATCCTGGGATGTCGCGTCGGCAACTCCGTCTTGCCCGATTGGGACAAAATTATCACTAAATTTAAAGTTAAAATTACATCTTGGTCCTCACGATCCCTATCGCTACAAGGCCGGACTCTGCTTGCAAATACCTTGGGACTCAGCTTGTTTTGGTATCAAGGAACGATATTTGATATGCCCAAAACCATCATTCATGCAATAAATAAAATACTGTTCCCTTTCATATGGCGGAAAAAGAAAGAACCTGTCGCACGCAGCTCTGCCGTTGCTCCTCGTCTTAGGGGGGGCTTAGGGGTTGTGCATGTCGCAACCAAGATTCTATCTTTGCGGGCTATTTGGCTCCGCCGTCTCCTGCTACTACAATATAATGTTCCTTGGCCAGATTTCTTCTCTGCCCATATCCGTCATGTCTTTCAACAAGACCTGGACTCCTTTTTTTCTTGGACAACCATCCCAGCCTATTTGATAAAAAAGATACCAAAATTCTACCAATCCATGATTCACACATGGAGGCAACCTAACGGTCGAAGCGAAGAAAACTCGTGGTTGGTGGGGAACAGCGATGCTGTGCCTATTCCGCTGGCAGAATTAACGGCCAGACGCACTTACTTCCTCATCCTGGAAAGTTCTTTGGCCCCTCACAAGGCCATTGAAAAGTTTAGCACAATGCAGATCTCTGTACACTGGCCATCTGTGTGGCATTCTTTGCAATTGTGGCGCTTTACACGATCAGTAGTGGACACTAATTACTATAACTTTCATGGCCGCCTTGCCACCGCGGACCACTCTTCATCTTTTCTGCCATTATCCTGTTGCCACCACCGTTTGGGACTGGCTTACCTCTATTTTGGCATCCTTGACCCTCGCTACCCCCCTCTCCATCTCCACCATTCTCTTTGGATTCCCGGACGCGAAGAAGATCCCCGCTGCCGTGAATGCCCTCTTGGGCATTTTCTGACATCATCTGTGGCTTCACCGCAATCGATGCAGGTTCGACCGTCTCTCTCCCGATGCCTCCTCGGTCTTGCGGATGGCGAAGTCGACCTTCCGATTCGCGGTGAAATTAGAACATCGCCACTGCCTTCTGACGCAGTTCGAAAACGAATGGCTGCTTCGTGGAGTAGTCGGCACCGTCACTGAAGACAACATCGTATCCTTTTCTAAGGATTTCATGTCTTGACGTTGGTAATTTGTTGGACGTTGCTGATGGGGGTCACCTTCATTGGTTGTACTGACGGATAGCCCGTTCGTCGTACGTCACGTAGATGGCGAAAAGGCAGCCTACTGTCCTTTTCAATATCTCGTCTCGTGATTCTCGTTCGTTTTGTCAAAGTCCTGGCATTAATGCCAGGGCTTCGTGTCGTCGAAAGATCCTGGATCTTTCCTTTTGTTCTCTGTCGGTTTTGTCCGCGGGGGAGAGGTTCACATCCTCTGTCGATCTGTGTCGCTTATAGCGGCCTCCCTGGGTGTACCGGTCTTGCACATAAGGGTTCGTTGTCATTGCACACCCCGACTTCGTAACTTACCCGGTCCCCACCCAAAATAAGATGTCGTCGACATATCTTTTCCATAGTCTGATGTTTGTGTTGTTTGTGACTGATTGTGTTTCGAGGTGTTGCATGACAGCTTCTGCGAGGAATGTGGATAGTGGTGATCCCATTGGTGTGCCTGAAATTTGTCTTTAGTATGTGTTTTGGAAGTTGAATTCAGTGTAGAGGCAAAGGTGGAGTAAGTCTAGGATGTCATCTTTGTCTAGTTGTGTTGTAGCTTGCCATGTTTTGAACATATTAAACTACGACCAGACGAAATCATGATATCCTACGACGTGACATCACTCTTCACATCCATACCACTAGACATTGCCAAACAATTTACAAACGAACTACTCACAAACGACAAAACTTGGCAAGCTACAACACAACTAGACAAAAATGACATCCTAGATTTACTCCACCTTTGCCTCTCCACTGAATTCACCTTACAAAACACATACTACAGACAAATTTCAGGCACACAAATGGGATCACCACTATCCACATTCCTCGCAGAAGCTGTCATGCAACACCTCGAAACACAATCAGTCACAAACAACACAAAGATCAGACTATGAAAAGGATTGTCTACGACATCTTTGCCATAGTCAAGAAAGACAAAACTGAACAAATCCTACACACCATAAACAATACCACAAAGAACATTACCTTTACTAAAGACGAAGAACACGACAAACAACTTACCTTCCTCGAAATCCTACTAACCAGAACAAATGACGGTACACTAAACACACAAGTATACCGCAAAACCACCCACACAGATTAAATACTCAATTTCAACAGCAATCATCCAACACAACACAAAATAAGCGGCATTCGAACACTTTTCAACAGGATGAACACTCATTGTAATACGGAAGAAGCCAAAAAAACAGAACGTAACTACTTATACTCCACATTTATTAAAAACGATTACCCTAGAAACTTCATAAACAAACCTATATACAAAATATAAAACAAAACACAAACCGACAAAAGCAACAAAAAACCGGACGAAACAGTAAAAATCGTCACATTACCATACATAAACGGAACATCAGAAATGACTGCCAGACTTCTTCGACCATTTAATATTAACATCGCCCACAAACCTACACAAAAACTCAAATCATGCTTCACCAAACATAAAGACAAAACAACAATTCATGATACAACTGACGCGATCTACATGATACCATGTAAAGACTGTTCAAAGCAATACATAGGACAAACATATAAGAAAATTGAAAAAAGACTCTCAGAACACAAAAACGCCATAAAACGACGAGATCCGAACTCACTACCGGCAGAACATACCCACGGAAACAACCACACATTCGACTGGACAGAAACTAAAGTACTCGGACGCGCACAGACTAAACACACGCGAATTTAAAGAAGCTTGGTACAGTAAAGACAACGACACAATAAACAGACATATCGACATACCCATCATATACCCACAACTAAAGAAAAAGGACAAAAAACTACAAACAACACCAAAACTAAAACACTACACTCTAATATTATTAACACCAATCATCTTTACAATACACCAAAACCCATGGCAACGCATTTCACCCCATCCAATCACATTAATCCACCCACTTATACAATTAGACGCTCTAAACGTCTCCAAGCTAAAAAGCACGTGTAAAGAAATATCCTCATTCTGATGAAGGCTCGAAGCAACGAGTCGAAAGGACAAAAAAAATCAATTAAAAATCCGGAGAAACTTTTATCTTTTACCTTATATTAGTTAACTGCTTACATAAATATAAAGTTGTACCAATCACAGAACTTCATGTATTGGGAATAGCTGTAATCATAGCAATGCAGTTAAAGAAATATTTCTTACTCAAATCCTTTGCTAGGAATATTTATATCCAATAGTGCCAATACTTGGTGAAGGATTTCTCTTAATTATGTCATATTGTAAAGACAAGCTGGAGATCGTCTGGTATTATCCCACCCCATCATGGCAAATATTCATTTTACTATCCAGTGATAAGCAACTTCACAAATATATCTAAGTTACAAATAAATATAACTTCATAGACATTTATGTTTCAAAAAAAAGGTGACATTTCTAAAAATTCTTCAGGGTTCTTACAATGAAATATGAACAATACCTTTATGGTGAAATAAAAAAAATACCATAATAGACACACATAAAACTGACTTATCCGTAAAGTATTATTGCTTACTCATTTTCTTCCATCGTGTGTGAGACACCTTGTTTCCCGATATTTTTTCCTGACTTATCTGACACGAATGACCTGGCTGTTTCTGAAACAATTCTGCGAGCACATAGTGTACATAGCTTAAAAACGAAATACATAGTGTATAATGTAGTAATGTTGTTATATTTTGTGCGAGCAGTTTATGAGATGTCACACTGCATACGTTATAACTTGGTACTAGTCTTTTCGTCTGGTAAATTTTTAAAATGGAGTAAAATTTCCATGTTTAAGACGTTATTAAACAAGTTTTATGAATAGGAACTGAATGATGCTTTTTTTAAGTCTCAGAACGACAAATTCTTTCGAAATAGCAAAAAAAGTTTCGAAAAATTTCATTTTATAGACACTTAATGATTAGGGTTTTCAAAGATTATCAATGATTATCAACTATGATCCACTAGCCTTACCATAATGCATCACAGATGCAACCCCTCTCTGCGCACGGGATGCAGTGTTCCCAATTGAAATTCCCCAATGAGGCATAGTATAGTGAAGCCACTCTATGAGCCACTGTATAAAACATTTTCGAGCCATGTATACCTTATACCGCATGTGATTACCATAGTGGCAGACAGTCGATGGCTTTTTTTGACAAATAGGAATGATGAAATGCCTAACGGCAGCCAGTAATCTAAGTAGATATGCCGCTGCCAGTTGCATAAGAAGTGGACCTACGTTATATTTCCTATACTGTGCCAGAGCTTTTCTTTCAATATGGCAGCGAAACAGGACATCAAGTAAAATTTGAGGACATGAAATTATGGTGAGTGAGACTTCTGTGTGATCTCTATTTTGTGACTTTGATTCGGGCTCATTTACTTCCGGCTTCAATTTTGCAATTAGAGCGTTATCCTGTTTATTTCCGATCAGTGGTTCAACGATCACTTCACATGTTTCATAACGTACGGCATCGTACAAAGCTCCCAAATAATACCCATCTTTGGAGGCAAAATTAATGAGCTTGTACTCGTCTGTTTAAGTCTATCGTCATGCTACAGTTTTACAAACAGTCTACATTTTTAATTTATGTAATTAAAGGTGGCGGAGGGGTGGGGGGACTAAAATTCGTAATATAAACACCTTAAATAATTGTTTTACTCTAGCTGACATTTATGCAAAATTACAATAGCTAGTCTTTAAACTACACTGTTATTTTTGAGGTGTTGAACTAGCACTTTCTCTACTGCTAAACTGACACCCACATGTGGTGTTAAATAAAAGGTGTTATTATAACACCAATATTGGTGTTGATTTAACAACATATGACCTGAAACATATTGTAGCGTGTTAAATTTACACCTCAGCACTTTAACACCCAATTAATAGTGCTGAAATAGCACCTTGTTCTTCCACAAAGGTGCTAAATTAACACTGTTTCTTGGTGTTAAGTGGTTGGTGTTAAATTAACACCATTAGCAAGAGTTACAATAATTTATAAAGGGCGTTATTTCTGCACCACTCTCCTTGTAAAATCATGGGTGTCAAAATAACACTTATTTTAACTGTTTTTTTAACTTATTTTTATACTTATATCTAACTGCAGCTGTTTTCGTTCTGACACGGATAACAGAACAGTTGACTTATGCGTTCATTTAAACAGTTTAAAAACTTCGTAAAAAATAGCGGCAATACATATGTTATATTAACCATAGTTGGATTAAGCATGGATTTTTTAGGGGGAACCTTGGCTTTGTGAGTTCATTAAAACTTAAAAGTAATAAGAAATACCGTTTTGGCACACCTCAATGCAACCGTGTTGACCAGAACATAGATGGGTGAGCACCCCTGTGCACCTCCCCCACCCCCCCTATAAATCATTCACTGGTAATAAGTACACAGGTTAAACAGTAAATAAAATAATTTATACCAAAGATAATGAGCTTTTTTGAAAGGCCATAATTTATACATTGCGATAATGCATAAATATGCTGTGTTCAGGAAATTACAATTTATTCTAAATCTATTTAATATCGAAGGCAGCTAGTTATACACGACTTTAAAAGGTTAATGCTTGTTTGAGTAACCTTCGTAGCATTCTCAACGAGGGAATCAAAAACAGTTTTAGGTACACGTCCTCTTTCTTTGAAGTTTAACAAACATAAAGCATTCGCTCTAGATAAATTGTCCTGGTCAGCCATAATGTCAAACTCTTCTTCCTGTTCAGGGTCTGTATTATCAATCTCATGATTTTGATTAGCATCGTCGTTTCTCCTATCAGTATTCAACTCTTCGCTGTCCTCCTATTGCGCACGATGTTATGTTTTCGAATAAGGTAATTTCTCAATGATAAAAATTTCTTAAACGTCCTGGCACAACCATCGATGCCACAAACAACATGAAAATTTGGTTCATCACGATGAACACGGCCAATATGTGTTATTAGTAATTAAAGAGAATCTGAAACGAATTCTAGGCAAATATTACATCGATAGAGACGCTCCATGACATAATTCACTTCTAGAATACAATTCACTTCTGAAGAGAGTGCCGGCTCAACTCTGTTACCATATATGGTGTGAAATGTGATATTAGCGACTATATTCAAAAACGCGGTAAAATGATTATAGCCAACTGTCACTGTCACACTGCTTCATATTTCATTTCATGATTTTCATCGTGATTTCACCTGTTTGAGCAGCGTTGCCAAATTATATTTTATTGTGAACTAAACGTAAAAGTCAATATTACCAGACTTAAAGAGCCATTGGATTTAAGTTATTTGGTTTCGACGATCTCCCTTCTTTTCAAAAGGTAAATACAAAGCTTTTTTGAATGTAATTTCTTATGAAATTTCTTGTGACACATACTTCTCCTCGTGCTTATATTTCATGGAGAAATTTTTGTATTCGTGTTTTACAAATTTTTATGCGTTTAAGGTCGGATGGATTCCACGTTGCTTGATAATCTTAAGAAGGCAGGGGTAAAGGACAGTGTAATTTCTATTCTTGAAGATGAAGAGGTATGTGTATAAAATTAATTTTAGCATGAGTGCGTGAATTTTTGCGTGTTGACGTTGTGACTAGACGACTTTTTGTTGCTTTTGTTAACACTGCTTGGTAAATATGGATTCCATACCGAAAAAACAATACTTGAATTTAGTGGGGGAAATTATTGAGGGAAATAAAGTTTAAAGATAAAAAATGACTAAGTAATCTAAGACGTCAAGCATTATGGGTGAAGATTCAACTGCTGTGGTTCAAACTACATTAGACTATGAAGTAAAAATACCAAATCATTATTATTGCAGCATGCTAAGTTGATGTTCGAATAAAGTACTTCATTTTTTTTACTCCGGTCCGCGGAATCCTGGCAAATGTTAAAGCCAATAAATTAAGCTGTTTTAGTAATTTAAAAAAGTTATTTGGAAAACGTTTTTAACAATGGATTTGAATGATAGTTCTCACTTGGAAAATTGAGTTTTACTATGCCGACGAGCTTGGAAATATTGTGGAAATTGTTAGCGAAAATATAGCAGAAAACGTAAACATGGATGAAAGGGACGAAAGTTTTACGCATGAAATTCAAGATTACATTATGGCACAACGGCCATAACTGCCTGACAAAAAATAAGTACGTTATTTACCGCTTATATTTCGGTCCGAATAGAAAAATAGTTCCTCTCGACATCAAAAGCGACCTTTGGCCTTTGGCCGTTTGAGACCTCTGGAAAACATTTTTACATTTATTTCAACCGCGTTCTGATTGGTCAAAGCCCAATCCAAACATCAAATGGCTGCTCTTTTTTTGCTTGAATGGACCTCCCCAAAGTCTCGGTCCGTTCAAGCGAAAAAACAACTTGACCAGTATCCTCCTGTACGAACCTCTCGCTCAGTCTTTAACATATATATATCTTTTTATTTTAATTTTGATTTTTCGTACTTGAATAGTTTGATTCAGCTGGTGTTTTAAACAATACATCTGATGAGCTGTTGAAGGCATGTGGCATAAAAGGAGGGCAAGTTATACGAATCAAAAATGCATTGGCAACGATTAACAACTTGGACAAGTTTCTGCCAGTAAGAAATGTTCCATCCACCATTGAACCATCCACCCAGAAGATCGCTTTATCCACTAGTCATTCCTTTGCCATAAATGACAATGTCAGCAATTTTTCATCGTCAATTGATGAAGCTCATTTGTCAACAGGCACACCGTCACCTACAACATCCAGTACACCTCAACATACCATAGCATCTGAAAAGTGTGATCAACCTTCACCAAGCTTTGCACTTGTGAAAGAAAGGAAACCGAACAAGAACTGGATAAAAGGTTTTAAACTTCCTATTTCTGTATGTTAAATAATATACCTCATAATAGGTCACATTCTAATGTTAAAATTTATCTTTTTGTGTTTTACAGTTTTCTCCAAGAGTGAATGAAGCACTGCAAGCAGGAAAACTTAATGGAAACCTTAGGGATGAGTTTACTGGGGACATTTGTTCTTCTATTAAAGCTCTACAATGTTTCCATCCAGAGAAGAAAAACAAAGAGTGGCGTCCATGATTGTAGAAAAATATACTTTTCTTGTCGATTCACTTGGAGCTGGTGCAGTAACTAATATTCATATTATTTAATGCATAAGATAATCTTTAGAAGAAATCCTATAGCTTTGCTCGCCAACTCTTATAATGTGCAGCATGAACTTTCTTCGTTACAGGGGTCATGGTTGAAAGCAATCACTAATCGATTCAAAAACATGCGTAGAAAGAAGACAAATTCAACAACAAGATCTGTTTGTGTCTTAAACTACACAAAAGCAGCCAGAAACAAAGATGTTTCTAAGCTGTTTTATATATTTAATTATATATACACATTTAATTTTATGTGTTTCATATATTGACTTGTTTATAGTATGTTTTATGTTTTGTATATATTTATATGTGTGAATACATGCATATAAATCATATCATTTTTTTTTAAATATATTTATTGCTCAGCATTTTTGTGTCGCGTGTTTAACTGGCCTTACATAAAACAATAAGGAAAGGGGTTACAAAATAACACCGAATGTAAGTGTCATTTTGACACCGGACGTTAAGGGCTAAACTAGCACTTTAACAAGTGCTATAATAACACCAAGAATAAGCGCTATTTTAGCACCAACCTCGGTGTTAATTTAACACCAGTAATAAAATAACACCCGAAATGGTGTTATTCTGTACCTTTTAATTTAACACGACTTTTTAATATTAAATTAACACCTTAAAATTTACAGTGTATTCTTATCCAAAACTGTATTTTAATGAATTCATTTACAATTTTAAGTATATAAAGTACATGGATAATAAGCCGCATGTCAAAATTCAAAGCTCATTGTCGTTGTCGTCTGGTCATCCGACAAATCGGCGCAGCAAGAAAATGGGCATCTTGCTGATTACGTGTAAGTGCAGATGTTTCTTGCCGTAGCATTCTGCTGTGATGAATGTCCTAAGAATATTATCCATTCTCGTATATTTTAGCCATAATGCTGAGGTACGGCTGTGTTCTTTGAATATTATTTTAGTTCTGATTACCTCTTGTGCATTATCTATCCACAGTTCACTAGACACCAGTTCTTCCCATAAAATATTTTTGTCCAGTACTTGTTGAAAGAGAAAACGTTCTGATAAAATATTTCTGCCAATTTGAAAAGTATAATTTAATGAAGATAAAACATGGCATCTATCTTTTTATATTTCATACAAAATTAACCGAAAATTTTTGTTTCAGATCGATTCTCATCCCCTGATCAGAAAATTTCTGAATCAAATTTAAGTTGCCAAGAAACGTCATTATTTAAGAAGCCAAGAAACCTTTTCAATAAAAGTTTTACAAGCGAATCAGTGTTGCTTAATTTAAAACTACATTTGCGTCAATACCTCCCGTCTCTTTATATTGTATGTTCCCCAACTTCTTGCTGAAGCTTCCTAAGATTTCCTGATTACTGTCATTGTCGTTGAGAGAAACGTTGTGTTCTGAAACATCGCATGATTACAATGATGCTATCTATACAATGGCAAATTATTGAATAATAGTGTAAACATGTTATTATCGTGCTACCTGTACTTGCCAACAGCAGAACAGAGACAACAAGAGCTAAAGCAAAGGGAAGGGTTTTCAAAGCAGCATTAACAACGAGATGACCAAGTAATGCATGCGATATGGGTTTACTACTGAGCATGTGTTGAACCGCATTCGATGCGTATGCAAGCTCCAAAAACTCTTTCAACCCGGTTTCTGCCATTAAATGAAAAATAGAACCAATAAAGCCCGCTGCGTGTGAAATGCGCCATCGCAAAGTATGACATTACTTATAGGATCTCCGATGGCTTAGTTTGAATAAGATTGAATGCTTTCCACGAAATAGGCTGGTTCAATGTAATAATTACATAATTGTGCCATGCTTCTGAGCATGTTCAGTAATGAACTTGGTATATGCATGTTTCAATATTTAGGTCCATGTCTATCATTAGCAGAAAAACACGGAGGAGTTCTTAGAATGATCTTCAACAAAATTGTCGTCTTCTTCATACCAGACAAATTTGTACTGGCATTTGAGTCAAATAATAAAGACATCTTCTAGAGGAGAGTGATATTCAAACACATGGCTGAAATGTTTCTAATGTCACTGTTCTTATATTGCAAGGGATATCTAGGCTGGAGTGGTGAAACTATCTGAAGATGCCCGGCTGCAGAAATCTCAACTGCATTAATTGATTTCCTCCGTGGGAATGGATAAGTATTACTTGATACTGGTGTAACAGATACTACCATTTCCATACCATAAATAGAGTTCGTGCCATCTAAGGTCCAAAAATGTTGATCAGCATTGTCTGCGAAATATATTTATGAACTCTCCATTAAATATAGGATATTTGTGGTTAGATCAACTGATGCATTCTGGCTGAAAGTTTGCACCTCATTGTTTGATGAACAAATGTCCACCTGGTATATGCACTCAAGAAACGGGATGCTAAGTTGTGGTGTAATAGACAGCAAGCCCTATTGAAAGTGGTGCCATAATTGCACGTCGATGCACTGCCTGCATTATACTAAAACCAGTTTATGATTATTTTGCGATGCTTTCCACCAACTAGACTGCTCAGAAAAGTCTTAAGTGAATCTGTTAAAAATTCAAAGTGAATTTCTGCTTCTTCTTCGATGTAGGGTATAAAACTCATGACTTAACCATGCTTTTAATATCTTCTTCAATGAGTCTTGCTGCAGTCGAGATACTTTCTTTCTTTTCATCTTCCTGGCTCATGTTTCTTACTTGAGACTTGTGAAACTCGTCGAAGATAAAGTTTGCTGTTTGCACTAATTTCAGTAATAATTAATTCTTTGTGCTCAATCAACTTATCTTTAATAAAGGTATGGCCATATGAAGATCTAGCATCAGAGAGATAGTCAGTAATCTTAGCCTGGAGATCTAAAATAGTAAGCAGCAGTTATTCATCATTTTCTTCCAAGTATTTTACTACGGCAAGGAACACGTCTTATCTATCTGTGCTTGGGGGCTGTCCAACTGTTTTCCTTTTTTGCTAGCGCTTGTATTATAGCAGTAGACAAATGGAATCTGTTTCCCATTCAAAATATAGAACTGCAACTTCGGCGATACACAGAGTCTGCAGCCAGAAGGTCATGTACAACTAACAAACTATCTCGCACTGCCTGTCCCAGGTGGCACCTGTGTTTGAAAACACATCTATTACCACATCTTTTGTTTCGACTGTTGTCACTTTAAACGCATCAATGCTTTCGTTCTCTATCGTCGGCTTCAAAAACAACTTCTGTAACACAATAGAAACAGCCTTTTTAAAATGAGAAAGACTATTCTCCACTTTGAGTAGCTGATCGTTTAGGGCTTGTGGTGTCCTGAAAATACGATCACTTCTGTTCTGATATATTTAATAATTCTATCACTTCTTTTTTTTCCAGTAGTAAACAGTTCAACATAAATTGAAGTAATTTACACACCATATCTTCTTCAATTTAATATAATGATTAAAATTCTCTTCCATGCTGCAAGAAATCTATCTTTAATAAGTTTGAAACCATATCCTGTGACACTAAGTCATCTCTCGAGACTCCCTAGTTTGCATTGCAAAAACCAATTGAAGGCAAGAGCTGGGTTGTCTTTTTAGAAACAAAATATTTTAAAGAAATAGAATTCTGAAATTGCAGTACAAGCTGAACACGGTCCAGGTAGACTACTCTTGCAGCTGATAAATATTGAGAAAGTTTAGTAGCACTGTATAAAAGACCCGGTCTTGTAGATTGCATCCCATATATCAAGGTTCTAACCATTTGTCTGTATAGCCTGCAAGTCAGAGGCCGAGAATCTTCAGATCCATGTCTGTTAAAACTACTTTCGTGTGGCAACAAACTTGGTTTGCAATTTCTATCTTAAACCTGCTCGATATTTTAATGTTTAAATGAAGTAAATAACCGGCTTGAGTCAGTGGAAAGGATCTCAGAAAAACGTTGGATTGACGTATGGATTTGGGTTTTTTGAGCTGACAGTCATGTTTACGTTTGTACTTTGTTGAAATAGTAATAAACAAATTTTACAGTTATGTTTTTATTATATATTTGCTATGACTTATCTTACTTTTCAAGGGATACGTTTTATTCCTTTCTTCGTAAGTTTTATATTGTTATCCACTTAGATAAGAGCCATACATCATATTGGTGAATATTGTAAGGATTTTCCTTATATTACTCAGCTCTGGTGTTATTATTCTTACAGCTTTGACAGCCTTTATTCTCCATTGCGTGGGTGAAGGCAACTCGGATGCCTGATAAAAATTTTTTACCTTTTTTTTCCATTATCGTGTAACTGAAATACTTTGCATTGTTACCTATCACCACATAAATTTATTGACATGCCTGACTAATTTTTCAAAAATAGTTTTATTTTGTTTTCTGTAGGCATTATAAGTCACTAGAACTGATCCTCTTTATAAAACGTATGTTCAAAGCAGGGCTTATCAGCACTTTTAAGCTTTACAATAAACTTTGCTTTACAAAATAATTTCCTCCCAACATTGAATTTATTTGACAATTTTGTTAAGCCGTCACAAAATACTCCTGGTAGTAGATAAGAAATAGCAGTTACATTTTACAATTTTTATTTATGTTTTATGGTCATATCTGTTTATTACGGGGAATAATTAAATGGAAGACATGGCAGAAAAAAAACTTATTCTTCATCACACTACCACAAAACATTCTTTTTTTTTAAGTACCAACTTTCT